CCCCTTGTATAGTGTGTAGGAGGTGGAAAAACGCAATTCTGAGCCGTCTATCTCTAGTAGGAGATGCTTGACGCTTTTAAGCCTGTGGGTGACAAGAAGACGGACGGGAAGGGGAAGGAAGCAAATCAATAGGAAGGATTTTTTTAATCAACCTTAATTATTTGGGATTCTTCATTTCGGATTTGACTAAAGGAAAATGAGGTGGTGAGGGATTAAAATGAGATCATTAGATTTTTTAAAATGTTAATTAAATCAGGCCCTAGGGAGGCTCAAGCAGAGAATGGGGTGGAGACCTGGTGGCATCTCCCGGATGAGGAGAGAGATTTTTAGGGCGATGAGGGCTGAGGCTGGGGAGATTTTTGATTCTTTTAAGCGTGTGGGATAAAAGAAGACAGATAAGAAGGAAATGAGAGGGAAGAAATAGGGGCAAATAGGAACAATTTTCTGCCATCCACATCTGCTCTTCATGAGTTTTATTGTTTATTTCATGAAAGAAACATTTGGAAATAAAATATTGTTTTTTCAAGGAATAATTTTTTAATTTTGACCTGTGGGAGGAATCCTTTAATTGGAGGTGGATAGATTGATTTATTCTTCATGAGAATGAACATCTGACATTGATTGAGAAAGTCTTGGACAGCTGGGCACAATTAAACGCGGGTAATCATATGTAACTGGAGCACGTGTAATGGTACATGGGATTGTGTTTAATCAATCGCCTCAACCTCATTTCTCAGAGTCAGTCCATTAATTACGGCTCGAAGAACTTTTGATTGAATTAAAAAATGATGATAATGAGATTCGATATTTCTGGAGAGATTCTTATAAATTACAAATAATTGACCATGACAAATGGTAATTAAAGGTTCGTGAAAACTCAAACGCTTTTTTCTCTTTCAATAAAAGAGAGAAAAGCAAAAAAATGTTTTATCATTTTTTTTTAAATTTAAACATTCCCGCAAAAATTTTAATATTGAGATATGTTTTCTACATTATCGACATTCTACAAAACAATAGGATGAATATGTGGAAAAACAAAACACGAATGAAAACAAAAATATCTAGGAGCTGCAAAGATTACGTTTTCAATTTGCAAAACAAAATTAATTGTCAAAAATTCATGAGAAAACGAATAGATTTCTGTATTGCCAATAGAGTTACGATAGCAGAAAAAAAAATGGTGAACTTGAAATGCAAAAACAGAATTTTGATGAAACCCCGAGGAATCTAAGCAATTCAGTTTTACAAGTTGAATGAAAATCTCCACGTGACACCGACCTCCGCCTTCTTATCGCGGGATCATATTTCGTTGAGTGCAGTGGAATTAGGTTCAGTGATGAAGGACGACTGAAAGACTAGCAGTGACGTGGATATTTCCCTCCCAAAGATCTCAGTGAATCGCCTCAAAAACCCCGCAGAAGCATGAGTGGACAGACACAGGAGGAGAGGAACGCTGTTGTGCGTAAGAAGATGCTGGACCTGAAGAATGTCAAGGTGGGACCATTGCCGAAGGACTCACCATGGTTAAGACCGGTGCGCATATCATTCATGCAAGATGGCAAAGCGAAGAATTGGGATGTCTCGAGGATACACGACAGTGTTGCAATTATTATTTACAACACCACGAGGAAGAAGCTAGTGTTTGTGAGACAGTTCAGACCAGCTGTTTACTATGGAATTCTACCAGAGAAACATCAGGATGTTGACACGAAACAGTATCCACCAGAGGCTGGGCTGACCCTTGAACTGTGCGCTGGGATTATTGATAAGAATTTACCACTAGTTGAAATTGCCAGGGATGAGTTGAAGGAGGAAGTTGGGTATGAGGCACCTGCCTCTGCTTTTGAGAAAATTCTCACATACACGTGAGTTTATTAATCTATCTCAACTATTGACGAGGTAAAACCTCATTAACGAGATAAATCGAAAATTCCTCAAAGTGCATATTTGATCGCTTGATCAATGATTTGTTGAATTATCTCAGTAATGAGTGATGTTAAAGGGATTTATCAGAAGACCTTCTTTATTGGAAATTTTATTCTCTAGAGGAGAGGTTTTCTGACATTTTCCTCTAGGATCATTCATTTCTGAGATTATTCAACTCTTTACATTCCCAAATTATTCACCTTGTAGAGAAACGTCTCGTCATCATCTGATCAAGTTTTTTCAAATGATTTCAGGGATATTGCTGCAACCGCTGGTAGACACACACATTTTTATGTTGAAGTTACTGATGACATGCACATACACCCTGGTGAGTATCTTATCTTATCTATCGTCTAATTGAATTCTAGAAAAATGGAAAAGCTTCAGTTAATGCTCCTCTGAAATATTGAACTCCCCAATTCTTCAAATTAAGAATTCACTCTGCAGTAAAAATCTTAACAACAAGAAAATCAAAAATAATGTTTCAATGAAACATTATTTTGCTAATATCTCAGGAACGAGTGGATTTAAAAGAAAATGTCATAAAACATTTTTCATGGAGAATTAAATTTCCCACAAAAATTGTCGTTTCACATTTTTCTCCAAACCCAATATCTTCAGAGATATTCGCAAAATAGTGACCACTAAATTAAAATTCAATTAAATTCTTCAAATTCGTGACGTCAATTCCTCAATTTTTATTCTTAATATTTCTAATATTGCGTTTAGGAGGTGGAGATGAGTCTGAAGGTGAACTAATCGAAGTCGTCGAGATGAGTATACCCGAAGTAATCGAGTACATCTCATCAGGAGACGTCCAGAGTCCCCCAGGTTTTCTCTTCGGGGTCATGTGGTTCCTATCCAAGAAACGTGATCGTTACACATGAAACAAACCTCAAAACGTTAGATCAAATTTATTTATTTACAAAAAGGAGAAAACGAACAAATATGTACAATTTAGCAAGAACATTTCCCCTGTCTCGGAGAGGATCGGACGAGAAACTAGAGTTATTGTTCAGCTTCGTCCTTCGAGAACTGCGAACTGACCCATGCGAGGCCCCACTTCAGATTCGTGAGCAAAAATTTCAGTGCCTTGGTCCACTGCTCTTCAGAGTTGAATTGAATCCTAGAAAAAAATCGATGAGTTTTAGGTAATTAATGAAATAAATTGTTAGAGAACGAGAATAATGATTTTTCCTTTGCGATACATATTGGAATCATTCTGGAATTTTAAATGCTACGAAATTAATCGTTATCTTTGTAGGAAACAGATTTAGGCGTAAAGAGAAAACATGATATGAAATGGAAATATTAGTTAGAGATGGAAATTGTAATTTAATTGGGGAAATAAAAAACTTGTTGAGTCTAGTAAAAAAGGAAAAGTGGATTTATCTCTTTTTTTGATAGTTATGAATTTATTATTGATAAGTGGTTTTATAAGGAAATTTAAGGGGAGACTATTACGAGTTTTAAAAGTGGTGGGTTATTGGAGTGAGATTTTCATATCTTGAAGATCAATTATATGGATTTGAAAATGAATAATTAGTGTAAAAAAAAATTTTTTTTATTGTTTGTTTGCCCGCAAACGCTTAAAATGCTAAAAACAGTCCAGGGCCTCCAATTTTTGAGCTACAAAAGATTTTTTTTTTCCAAAATTTTCGGAAAAATGTGTGGAACAACAATTACGAGCCAGTTTTTTGGAATTCGACTCCTACACTGCTGATTTCGGTTTTTTTCACGTAAAAAAATTCACTATTTGTGTCAAAAAATACAAAAAAAGCAAATTTAGTCATGTAAGAGGCGAATTAAAGAAAAAATAGCTCGTAATTGTTATTCCACATATTTTTCCGAAAATTTTGAAAAGAAATTGGAGGCCCTGGACTGTTTTTGGCATTTTAAGCGTTTTCAGGCAAACGAGCAATAAAAAAAATTTTTTTGTACTAATTATTCGTTTTCAGATCTATATAATCAATCCTCAACGTATGAAAAGTCTCACTCCAATAATCCACGACTTTTAAAGTTCATAGTAGTCTCCCCTTAAAGCCTTTTTCTTTTAGAGAACTCAATTCTCTACACAAAAATATATTTTCCTTTAAAACCTATCAACGAATGAATAATCCAATTAAGGCCCAGATGCATTTCAGATTATCAAAATAAAGAAAAACAAGATCACGTTCACCAGATAATACACCTTAAATAAATTAACGAAGACGTACTTAACAGAATAAGAATTCCCAGTGGCAGAGTCCTCGATCTTCCCCCGATCCATCTTATAAGGTAAGCAAAATCCACTGTCGCCCTTCTCCACCTGCTCCTTGAACTGCTGCAAACAGTCGAGAAAAGCGACCATGGCAGCATCGAACTTGGTATCCCACAGGAACTTGAAGCCTCCACTCCCATACAGAGGCAACTCCTTCTGCTGATCCAGCACCTCCACATAGCTGTGATTGCCAAACGGCACGAGACGAAATCGTTGAAACGTCAGGTTCATCTTCCTGGCTAGTGCTGTGAGTAATAACGTCGTTTGTCCCCAAGCTGCGTTGATCTCACTCCAGTCCACTGGGGCTGTGGGGAGACGTCCCAGTCTGAACGAATTTATCGTGCCAAAGTGGCCTGAGTGCCATATGTGAAATGTTGCGTTGAACACGTTTGTTTTTTTCAGTCTTTCTAGTTGAGACGAGGCATAGGCTAGTTGGCATTCCAAACTGTGGAGAAAATCGTGAAGAATTAATGGATAAAAACATTAATTTGAGGTTCAGAGATGAGTATTCATTAATTTTTTGGGGATTCAATTTTCATTGGACTTGAGTTCGATTTTTATTGGGATTTTTATTCACCTGAAGTAGGTGTTTCAGTATAAATTTATCTCATTATCTGAGAGAAATGGAATTCTTGTGTAGAAGGCAAAAAAAACTAATTTACCATTTCATCTTATCAATTTTTAAATTCATTATTTCATGCAATTAAAATATTTTTATTGGAATTAATGAACATTTTTATTAATTTTCAATAAAGATATTGTTGAAATGAATAGAAAAATTCTCCATTTCTCTGGGTGAATGTTAGAAAATTACACAATAACAAAAAGATCAAAGTAAACTGAATTTTTCGGATGTTGTATCAATGGATATGGAATTATCTCTGTAATGAATGATTTTGGCAATTTCATTTTTATTGAAATTAAAATTTTATTTCCATCTGTGTTAAATTAAAAAATACAGGCTTTATCCCTTAAAGATGAAATCATGGTTTAGAAGACGAAGAGAATGAATTTATCAACATTTAAATTAAATTACCTTAAATGTTCATAAATCAAAGAATCCGTTATCTAGATTAAATCGATCGTTTATTAATGCAAATAGAGAATTTTGTTTCAATTAATGAATCATTTATTTTACGTAATTAAAACATTTCCATTGCAATTGATAAATATGTTCATTAATTTTTAATGGAGTGATTGGTGAAATAAATAGAAAAAATCTCCATTTCTCAAACTAAAAATTGAACAATCAAAGCTTTAACAACAGGATCACACCATCTTGAACCTTTGAAAATATTTAAATTGAAAGTAATTGAGTCAATTTAACGAATCAATTTTGAAAAATGTTTTCGTTGAACTAATAAAAATAATGATTTTGCAATTACCTTCGACATTCATCCTCGGCGAGGATGAGATCCCTCCTGTGCCTGGAGTACTCCCTCCAATACCTCTCCTCCTCGCTCTGCAGCCTCTCCCTCTCCAACTCCTGCTCAGCAATGGCATTTCTGGTGGCAGCCTCCTCCTTCCTCAGAGCCTCCAGCTCCTGGATCATCCTCTCCTCCTCGGCTTTGACGTCAGCCAACTCCTTCGTGAGGTTCTCCATCTCCATCGACTCGTTTCCCTGGTGCTGCTGTTGCTCCACCTCCAGCTTCTTCAGGTATTCGTTGTAGTCAGACCACTCACTCTCAGTCATTCGTAGCTGCTGGTCCATCAGCATCAGAAGACTGTCCGTGCATTCGTCGCACAGGGGGTGGTCTGCTGCACTGCTACTGCTCAGAACGTCGAATAGGGTAGCTCGCACCTGGAATTTTTAGTTTGTTTGATTCAAAGGAGAATCGGAGAATACGAGAAATTTTAATCCAGTTGGCGAGATGGAATTCCTAATGAAGGATTTTTTTATGAATATTGGGGAGAAGATGATTCAAAGAAAAATATTGAATTCGTTCTCTGGGGAAAATTGAATTCTCTGCAAAAAATGGCTGTTGAGTTTTTCGTCTAGATCGATTCATCACCCAGAGAATCTAATAGTTAATAAATGACAAGTGCCAATTTTTGTGATGTGATAAATTTCACAAACATGATTTTGTGAATATCTTTGAAAATAGGGGATTTAGAGAAAATAATCAAGTACATTTTTTGTAGAAAATTCAATTCTTTATAAAAAATGTTCAGGGATATTTTTTGGTGAACCTACTCGTTGCTGAGATAATTTAATAATTGTGGATAGATAATTGAAAAATTTTTGTAAGTTAAATAAGTTTCCAAAGACGATTTCGCAAATATTTCCAAAACCAGTCGATTTAGATTTAAAAAAAATCTTGACAAAGTACAAATAAATTGTTTGAGATGTTCAGTATTTAATAGTTATTCTCTTGAAGATGGTTACAATCAGAATGAAATATTACCCTCAAGTGATGGCTGAGACTCTCAGTCTCCCCCGAATCTCCAACGAGCATAAACCCATTAGTGCCATTTGCTGATTCAGTCAATCTGAATGGCGGAACCAAGTGCTCCAAGCTTCCACTCTGGGGCTCTATCTCACCCACAACATGCTGTTGGATTGGTACTGTTGGTTAAATCAAAAATACCTCATCAAATCGACTGATTCCACAAGAAATACGAATTCTACTACTTTAAAAAAATCCTGTTCGATTTCTAACATCTGCTTAATTATGCAGATATTCAGATAATCCAGAACTTCAGAAGAAAATGTCAAGAGATTTCTACATTTTCCCCTAAAATTACTCGCTCTCAAATTAAATACAAAAACAGAAAAAATTTTGTGTGCCTCCAAAAATTTTACCACTCCATTATTAAGAGCATCTCAAATACTTAATTAATCAATTTTACGGAATACCAATGAGAAAAAAATGAATCTCATAAAATCGTTAAATGAACGTCACTCTCAATTGTATAATTCATTAATCAAATCAATTGTAAGAAACGAAAAAATTAATCATGTGATAGAAACAGCAGCACCAAATGATTTTTCTCACAATTCTTATCCTCGAAAAATTATAAAAACTTTGGAAATATTAAATGTATCCTATTCCAATGATCGTCAATCTCGATAAACCAGATAATCAGAAATTACCTACGTGATAATTCAGCAAGTGTATGTTCCCCGAGATGATCGAAACTGGAGTCGAGTCTGAGTGGCTGGAGGCACCTTTGACAGGAGAAACTGACATTGCTCTTTATATCCACCATTTTAGTTCGAATAATGTCCCAATCGCGACGATTGTAGGCCTCACGACCCGATTTCCCTATGCTCTTTATTTATAAATAATGACTGCGACGCTCCGAAAGTCGTCAGCTGATTTCCAATGTTATTGTGGAGGGTCGGTTCTCAATGAGCGACAAACCGCATATCTAAGGGTGGGTTTTCATTCGCCACTAACTTAGCGACTCCTGTCGCAAATTAGAAATGCAAATTCGTTATATGACGGTCATGTGACCGTCATTTACGGTCATATGACGGTCGTGTGACCGTCTTTTAAGGCCATATGACGGTCATGTGACCATCATTTAAGGTCACATGACAAGGCATTTATGATGGCTGTCGCAATTTTCCAACAATATGACAGTCATTTTTCATCTATACAGATGAAACTCCATTTTTTCTGTAGTAATTTTTATTTGAATTCATCATGTATTAGCCTAATGTGCATTTTGAAACGTGAATCACGCTCATTTTCCATCTCTATAGGTGAAACTATTTTTTTTATTTATGACCGTCACAAATTAGCCATTAGTTATGACCGCCATTACACATCTATATGGATGTTGTGAGAACAAGTTGTTCCCAAATCATTTGCGACCATCATTTTTATTTAAAAAATTTGTGCGTCATATGACCGTCATTTTTGAGACCGCGTCATATGAGCAAAATGGTCATTTAGCATCTCCAATTGCGACACGAGTCGCTAAAATTAGTTCGCAATGAAAACCTACCCTAATCACGTTTTAAATTTTCGCGCCTTTGGAATTTTACATTTCATCATGTGAATATTATATTCCTGACGAAAGAAACATAGTTTTTGCCTCCGAATGGAGGGTTTGTAATCGCTTATATTCAAGTTTACAATTTTTTGTGCTAGGGCAACTAAATATGGTCTAAAAAGCCCGAATATACGATTGTTAGAGGGTGTCTATGTATGCACGTACGTATGCATGACTGCGTCAAGGTTAGAGATGCACAATGACCGTCATTTTTTAGATCGCGTCACATGACCAAAAAATCAGTCATAAATAATTTCTAATTTGTGACGGTCATAAATTTAAAAAAATAGTTTAATCTATAGAAATAAAAAATGAGCGTGATTTTCGTTTCAAAATGCGCATTAGGCTAATACGAAATGAATTCAAATAAAAATTGATAACGAAAAAATGAGTCAAATAAAATTATTGTTTTGTTTTCTATTACTGATCATAGAGGGAGGGGAAGTGTGACAGCTGTCGTAAATTGACGCACTTGCATCTCTAGTCTTGAACCAGGTCTGCAGCAACCCTTTGTGCACAAAGCCGTATAATTATCATTATTCATTCATTCATGGGGCTCATCATTTATCCTATTTTTGATATTTTCACGAATGGATAAACATACAAATACCACTTCGTATTTTTATATGTACCTGAAAAACACGACTCCCTTCAACTACGCATGACAATAAGGACCCCAGATCAAAACCGCCACAAGGCGAAATTTTGAAAATGTGTATTTTTAATGTATTTCAATTACAGATGTGCGATAACAATTCAGAAAGAATAAAATTAACAGAAAGCAATAATGATAATTTTTTTTTTCACATCCATTGTTGATCATTTGACGATCATAAGTAACGAATTAACCAACGCTCATTGGCTACGGTGAACGATCCAGCTACTTCATAGGAATCTGGTTCAGGGCATGATGAGCCATGTTTTCATTGTCAATTCCTACCTGGACATCTACGGCATTCGGCTTAAGAGTCGTGAATAACTCAGCTAGCAGTCGCTTCAATTCCACGACCTTTTCTTGTATCTTATCCATTTCTTCTAGCTTATGCTCGCTGATATCCTCATTAGTTTCAGTCGCCTGAGGCGGCAAATTTAATTCATGATTAATTTAATTTTTAGATTTTCAATTATGATTGTGCTCGCTGTAGCGAGCGTTCGGACTCGTAATGTAAAAATGAATGCCGTAAGAAGGACGGCCGAGCTTAATATGCACCAGAAATTTGAAATTAAGAAATGGCTAGAAGCCGAATAGCTCAATTGGGGGACAGCACACGATTCCCGATACTCTGTTATGATTATTATAATCATCAACTAGCATTTGCATATCATAAAATGTTTTTTTACTACTCTTCTCTTTGGCAATAATTTAATGCCTTTTTTAAAAAAAACATATAGTGCAACTCACTCATTTAAAATTTTGTTCTGGGCATAATAGTTATAAACAAATAGCGATCGCATGTGACAATGCGCATAATTAAAGAAATTTTGTATTAGATATTTCATTAATAAATAAAATAGAGAATTAAATTCTCATAATAAATGAATCACAATTCCTACCTCGAAATCTACGGCATCTCTCCTAGGAGTCGTGAATATTTCAGCCAGACGATCGTTATCGTTCTGCTCACTGATATCCTCGTATGTAATTCCTGATCCCTCGATATGCTCCAAATTCTCACTAGACGTTATTTCCATTGACATATCCCGGGTCAATGGTGGAGGCAAGGCCGTGACCATGCCAGCCACTAGCAATATCAGAGTGAACTTCCACATCTCGAAAGCACAAGAAAAAAATATATTAACCCCTCAAGTACGGCGTCCATACCGCGCCGTGTGTTCTCATCGGCCAGCGGCTTCCCGTTTACTCGAATTCGCTGTTTAATACGCAACAATTTCTACGCTGAGGATCACAAAATTAGCATCTAAAATTTAATGATAATCTTGAGGTTTCATGAATAAGTTGTTCAATTACAGTATTCTTTTGAACAAATTTTTCTGGAATTTTTAAGACCAATCTCTGTTCAATAGTATAAACGGTTGCCGAGATCGGTGATTGTCGGAAATTTGTTAATAACAAATCAGTAATTCAGTAGTGAAGTGGTAAACGGAGATAAGTCGACTTATCTCCCAGTTGAGTTTTTGAGGAATATTTCCAAATCTAAGGGAGATAGCGTAATTTCCGTAATTACATTTGTTGTAGCACTCGATCGACTCCACAAAAAAGATTATAACAAAAATTTTGCTATCTCCTTTAGATTCCGAGATATTGATTGAAAACTGGTCAATTGTCAAAATTGACTTATCTCCTTTTACCACTTCGCTACTGAATTCATTGAATCGAAATTTCGTTCGCGCCATTGGACACAGGAACGCATAGAGTATGTTCGGTAAAAATTTCAGAATTTTTCATGAAGATTTGCCGAGGGGCTATAAAAAATCATATAGAAATTTTCTGAACGGATTGTGTATAGGATTACTATAGAATTTCATGCCACAGTGGCGCCGTGATATCGGAAGTGAGCCCCTCGAGATTTGCTCGATAAACGAGAGGTTTGAATATGCACCTGACATCGAATTCAGTTCGATTACAGTAGTTACTCTCTAACACTTCAGCCTCGGGGGCCAGAATTCAAGGAATTAAATGCTCGGGAAGCGCTTACTCTTCCGTTGGAGGCGGAGCTAGGAAAGAGATAAACAGAGAGAAAGAATCTGGCTATTTCACTCTCACACGCCGAGCGTAATTTTACTGCGCAGTCCTGCGCGCAGAGGGACACACCGATTTACCCAATCGCATTTACGTTGCCGATGGTGGGGGAAGTCAACTTCTCCAACTGGAATGTTAGGGAACCGAAATGATAGGGAGTAACCACTGTAAGTAGTCAATTCGACGAATTGACTGCTTAACAATTTAACGGTAATTATAATTTATGGATATGGCTATCTCCGCTAGTGAATTCGCTGGGTCTTCCTATTAGACTTTTTTATCCGTGTGAAAGGATTCGAAGAATTGAGAATAGTTTGATTGCAGAACAGAACTCACTGTGATTTCGAGTCTGTAAAATAAGATGTGCTTGAACTAGAGATAATCACCTTCTTGTTAGAATGACGACGCGTGATTGCCACCACTTTGACTGATGATGGCTAGCCAACCTCGAGTATTTTATACTGGTCATCCCCACTCCCGCAATAATTTCACAGGGGGTCATAGGAATGATCCACTGAAAAGTTGCTTCGAAAATTCCAGCCTTTGCCGGATTTTGGGGCAAAAGTGATTTCCTGACAACAGATAACATACGTAAGGATCCAAAGGACTGATAAACCGGCAAATACTTTTTGTTACAATACGTGATTCAATGAATAACATAAAATGACGTCATTCCTATTACTCATTACAATATGTAATTAAGTGAATGATGACAATTGATATGTCATTCCCATCACCCCATCAGGGATGCGAGAAAATGACCTGACCGGTCACATGACTGTCAGTTACCGGTCACATGACTGTCAGTCACGGTCATGTGACCGACGGAAAGATGACAATTTTTGGTCATCTGACAAATCTGTGACCATTTTACCATCTGACCGTCACATTCCATCTAGCTAGTGTCCCCCCAGGTGTCACCACTTTGAAATTCAAAAATTCGCAAATCATAACGGCCTTGACTCACGATCAGGAGAATTGGCATGAGTATCGCGATTGTTTCCACTCCACAAAAAATATATGTTATCGTGTTCAAATGCGAAAAAAATAGGAACGCTAAGTTTGCCCTGTCCAATGATGAAGAAGAAGAAGAGGCTGAAAGTTCTGACTAAACTCATCTGCTTTCATCATTTATATTTTACTTTTTTTTTCTTGACATGGATTATATACTTTGTTATTTGATTTGTGCATTTAAATTGCACAAAGTATTCGTTTCTTTACACTAGTATTCCTGAAAGGAGACTGAAGAGAGCCAAATGATTGACGTTATTTTTTCGTTTAGTTTATAAAAGTATAAACTATTGAAGAGAAACAAATATAGAAGACTGGAAATGGCAAATTTAAGATGTGAGAAGTTTCATAACTGAACTAGAACTCGTTTAAAAATGCAATAAAGGCATTCAAATAAAAATGATAAACATGAAATTTTGAATTATCCAAAAAAATGTGACAACTTTTTGTGACAAAATCATTTCTGACGGTCATTTTACATCTAGCTAGTTGGTTGTAGAATGACATCAGGAAGTGTGACCGTCACATGACTGTCATTTTTTTCTGACCTGACCGATTTCAAAACGTGACGTCATCTCGCATCCCTGCACCCCATAGCG